CACTCTCGTCTTCGCCGCTGCCATCTTTGCTGTCCGTACCCTTCTCCCACGCGCTCTACGTTCTCACCGCTCCCTCCCACTCGCACCCTTCGCTCACGCTCCCTCTTCCTCGCTCGCACTTTTTGTTTTTCCACCACTCGCTTTCTCCTATTGCCACAAGAACCCTGCTACTTTGCCTGTCCGGACGACATCTATTGTGCATGCTTTCTGTGACACCTGTCCGTACTGCTGCGCTCGGCTTGCTTGTGCGGCAAACGATGATCTCCTAGGCACCGCATAAAGCGTCTCGTCTTCCCCTGCACCCATTCGCATGAGCAGGTGGTGAACCGGGGCAGTGTGTTCGCCGGGTTTGCAGGCATCAGCATAGACTATGCGCTGCAGATCACGGCTGCTCTCGGCATGCTGGTGCGGCAGATGACCGACACGGAGAACCAGATGAACGGCGTGGAGCGCATCCTGGAGTACCGTGATAAGATCGACCATGAGGTGGGTGATGTGGGCGAGGTAGGGGGCTAGGGAGGAACGCGGTGCGTGCGGTTTGTGCAGTGTGGGGTGCAGGGTGGGTGAGGGGTGTTGGGTGTGGTGGTGAAGGATGAGGGTGAGAGTTGTGGGGAGGAAGGATGAGGACGAGGAGAGAGTCTCAGCAGTGCATGCTTGCACTTGCACCCTCATGCGTTAACATGCACGCGTGCATCATGCCATTTCGCTCACGCACCGTCCTTCTCTATGTCTCTGCTGCGTGGTGCAAGCCGGTGCACGAGCATTCATGTTACACATGTTCCTGATCCAAGCGTGTGTGTGCTCTCGTGCACGTGTGTGACCGCCCTGTATGTGTGTGTGCATGGCAAGCAGGCGCCAGCGGTGATCAAGGACGCGGATCCGGGCTCAGACTGGCCGGGCAAGGGCGAGATTCGAGTGGAGGAGATCTCCATGCGCTACCGCCCCAACCTGCCCCTCGTGCTCAAGAACGTGAGTCTCCCTCCAAGTCCCAATCCTACATCATGTAAATGCATAACGGGAATGCGAATATTGAGTTAACTCAAAACTCGCCTCTCTTCTCCCTCACCCACCCCTACTCCAGGTCTCTGTCTCAATCCAAGGAGGAGAGCGCGTGGGCATTGTCGGCCGCACCGGCTCCGGCAAAAGCTCCCTCATGCTGTGCCTGTTCCGCCTGATCGAGCCCGCGGAGGGGCGAATCCTGATAGACGGCACGGACATCGCAGGCATGGGCCTCACACAGCTGCGCTCCAGACTCTCCATTATTCCCCAGGACCCTGTGCTGTTCAGCGGCACTGTGAGGAGTAACCTGGACCCGTTCAACTGCCACTCGGACGATGATGTGTGGACGGCGCTCAGTCACGCGCATCTCAAGGATAAGGTGGGCGGGGAGAGGGTGCGGGAGAGGGTGGTGTGGGTGGCTTATATTCGTCTCTATTACATTTTAGGCAAAGGTACAAAGGAAATAGGCGGAGTATTGTAGAGAAGGGATGTTGCGAGGGGTGGGGCACAAAAATGCATTCTGGAAGTTAAAGGACGAGGAGGCTGCGCTGATGAAAGGCAGTTCTGTGCCAAGCTCCGTGATTCAATGATGTTCTCTCTGTTGCTGCTGCTGCTGCTGCTGCGGCTGCTGTGTGGTGCGTGCATGGGCAGGTGGGTGCGCTAACAGGGAAGCTGGAAGCATCGGTGGCGGAGTATGGAGAGAACTTTTCCGTGGGGGAGAGACAACTGCTGTGCCTTGTGAGTCACACCACCGCTACCACCAGCTTCCTTGTCCGCACGCATGCCTGTGTGCCCATTTGCACACCTCCTCTCACTTCGTCTCCTCTCCGCTCACCTCTTGAGATCGTATCCTGTCTCGTCCCCTCCACTGTGATCTGCCCTTTACATCCCAACCCCTCTCCCCATCTTGTGTGCTCTGCTCTGCTCCTCCCTAACCTCTGCTCCTCGTTCCCGTCTCTCGCCCCTCTCTTCCCCAGGCGCGTGTGTTGCTGCATCATGATGATGGATGAAGCAACCAGCAGCGCTGACTTTGAGTTTCGAGAACTCTCAAAACCCCTCCCCTTTTCCCCCCCTCCTTCCTCTTCCCCCCCACCCCTCTCTCTTCCCCCCCCCCACTTCCTGCCTCTCTCTTCCCCCCTCTCCCCCAGGCACGCGTGCTGCTGCGCAAGAACCGCATCATGATTATGGACGAGGCCACCAGCAGCGTCGACTTCGAGACTGATCGCCTCATTCAGGTGCGTGCGTGTGTGCCTTAGCGCTGCTGCGCGCCCCGTGCCCAAGCCATGCCATGGGCCCAATTATACATATGACCGTATGCCCTCCCTGCTTCTCACCTTGTTTCCTTCAGCCAGCCTGCCAATCTCCCCCCCTCTCTAACTCTCCCTTGTGTGTGTTGAAACCCGTCCCCGTGTCGCTGCTGCTGTGTGCAGGCCACCATCCGCACGCACATGCAGGACAGCACCATGCTCATCATTGCACATCGCATCAACACCGTCATCGATGCCTCACGCATCCTCGTGCTCAGCCATGGCGAGGTGCGTGCCATGCCATGCCATGCCATGCCATGCCATGCCATGCCATGCCATGTCATGCCATTCCAAGCCATGCAATGCGGCCACTCTTGAATCCTCGTGCTTCGGTCAGAACAAACGTCACTATCGTGCGCAGCCTTGTCCGACGCCATGCTGCTGCTCGCACACCTGCAATATCACCACCCCCTGCTCCCTCCTTCCCATCCTCAAACCATGGAGGTGATGGTGTATGACACGCGAGCAGCGCTGCTGGACAGCCCCAAGGAGCAGTTTCTTTTTTGAGTCAACTAACACATCTCCTTCCCTCCCACGTCCCGTGCTGTCCCTTGCCATCTGTCTGACCCCACCAGGTGATGGAGTATGACACGCCAGCAGCGCTGCTGGACAGTGCCGAGGGGCAGTTCTCATCGCTGGTGGAGGACACGGGAGAGCAGACAGCAGCGCACCTGCGCAAGATAGCACGCGGGGAGCTTGACTTCTTTGCTGCTTACTCCAAGATTGTCAAGGCCGAGTGACAGTTGAAGGGACAGGACGGAGGAATGCTTGATGCTTGATGTGGAGTGGGATGGGTGGGGTGTATACTAGCCTTTGTTAGGCTAGCATTAGTGCACAGCCCTGCTTTATTGACACATGGGATGGGTGTGCAATAAAGATGATCTGGATTTTCTCCTACAGCTCCTTTTTGTTTGTTTGAGTGAAGAATAATATTGATTAACGAGTTCAGTTGGTAAAATCATACTATTCTTGTCAAAGCAGCAACAGGCAAAGCAGTTTGGTGATATGATAGAACTGTAATTTCTCCAATACAAGCAAAAGCCAAACAGCTACCTAACATGCCAGCACAAACCTTTACAGCTAAACCTTCTACTACACCCCCACCACTCTCCTCCCCTCTCCACCACCCTCTACATACGCACATACACACCATTCTCACTGTTCCAACAACAGCGGCGCCTCGTCCACTCCCACATCCACATTCAACTCCGCACCTCTCCTCAGTTTCTCCTGGATCAGCCGTGCCATCTGTGACTGCGGCTGGGTGGCCGCAGCAGCTTCAGAGGGGGAGGAGGAGGCGTCTAGAGGAGCAGGAGTGGGGGCGAAGGTCTTGGAGGCGAATGCAAAGACGAGGTTGGAGAGGAGGGTGAAGAGCAGAAGAGCACCGCCGGAGTAGGCTAAGAATGGCGTGTCGAATTCCGGCCATCCCTCCGCACTCGCCCCTCGCCCCACTTGCAGGGCTGCCGTTGGGGGTGATAGGGCGGTTGGGGGTAAAAGTGGGGGAAGTCGGGGAGGGAGGAGGGGTGTAGGGGGGATGGAGGAAGGGGGCGGGTGATGTGGGGAAGGGAAGGGTTGAGGAATTGAGAGATTGTGATTGTGGCAAGAATGGAGGAGCAAGTCGGAGGTGAGGGAGAAAAGGATACGAGAGCGCACAAGTAGTATGGAGGAGCGCAAGCAGGAGAGCATAGCAGATGGCGAGAAGATCTGCTTGTGGATGTAAGAGGGTGTTCCACCGCAAGAAGATCTGCGAGTGTGCGCACATGCATGTCTCATTCAAGCCTCACGCGGTTGAATATGCCATTTCCGTGTCTTTTCCAGCCCGGACCCCTCAACCTCCTCCTTAGCTCACAAATGCGCCCTGCCCTAGGTGTGTAGCAACCCACCTGGTTTCTCGTCTCCGCTGCTGCTACTGGGCCTTGAGCTGGCCGCAGCAGCCGCGCCCTCTCTTCTTGCGCCATCGCTTTTCCCGCTCCCCCGCCCTATCCCGCGCTTCTCCCGTTCCTCCCGCGCCAGTTCCAGCAGCTGCGCGTCCAATGCGCGCAGCGCAGCGGCGGCGCCCGCCGACGGCGCCGCGGCCGGCTTCGAGGACGAAGCTGACGACGCGCCATTGGACGGACCGCTAGTGGACGAGTCGGTGCCGGCGAGATTAGGGTTCCCGGCATTCCCCGAGCGACCAGTCAAGCTGCCATTGCCGGCTGACGGCTGCTCGCTGCCGGCTAAACACCGCACTGACTTGGCCGACCTTGTGAGTCTCGCCTGTTTGGACCGGCACGATTTGACATGAGTTAAGGCGGACGAGGGGAGGGAGACCGGTGCCCCTAGCGGTGCGAGGAAGGCCATAGGACGTAATGCACTGACATGCATAGACGAATGCTGGTGGGAATTCCAGGAATGGGGTGGCTTGTGGACGCTGGGCTAACTTTGACGCGTACACAGAGCCAACTCGTTGCAGCTACAAGACGCTAATTCTATCTCGTCAGTAATTAGCCTATTTACGGTAGAGCCTTTTGAAATGATGGGGTGCTTCTCACGCATCAGCAGCGATCATATATGTATATATATACATATATTGTAGCCTATACACTGACAGTGTGACTGCTCATAATATTAATATCTGACAACTTGAGAGTAAATATTTCTATTCTGTCTTTTGTGTTGTTGTTAATGGTGTCCCAAAATTGTTTCTGCTGAAAAATGTTTTCGGCTGCAGTGTATTTTATAGATTCTCCGGTTAGAAAATATCGTTCTAAGGAGGCTTCAAGGTGGTTCACCACCGAACCAGACACCAAGCGAAGTCGCAAGTGACGAAACTGTTTAATTTCGCCTACATCATCCAGCCTGTTGACGAAAGGCTGGCTGTGCCTTGCGCTTTCGCTCAACGAGCCATGGCTGCACGGGGGTAGCAAGGTTCAAGTCCCCAACCCCCTAGTAGGGCGTTCTTTTCCCAACTCGACCAGAGGTAAGCAGGATTCGGGTAGGGGGAGTAGGTGCCACGTGTCAGGCCGTGAATCAAGCTAGGAAGGATCGTAGGCAGTGCCTGCAGGAGATTGCGACGTGTTAGGGCAGAGCAGAGATAATTAAGTATTAGTCGGAGCGCAGCTTGAGGTGCTATTACAGCGAGTTGGATGCTGTCGCGAGAAGTTCCCGCGTATTGAGCGAGACTGGAGACGCGGAAAGATTACGAGCCAGTAGCGGAGTTAGGTTAGAGAAGTTGCTAAGTATGGATCGACCAATTGTGCATGGAGCTTATCGGTTTTGTAGGCAGGTTTTGCGTTCCAAACTCTTCCTTTCAAGAAATCCTTTCAGACCATCGTTGCACAGGTTGCGGAATGATAACATTATACGTCGCCTTACCCGCTGTTCCTGCCGTCCCCCTCTGCCCCGCACCTCCTCCGTCTCTCGTGCTCTTTCCCGGATCCGTTTCCCGTGCTGCTTCCTGGATTGCAGGAAGGGACCATTTGGCTCGTAATTTCCTGCACAGCCAGTCGCGATGGGTCGCGTTATTCGCGCACAGCGTAAGGGTGCGGGTTCCATCTTCGTGTCGCACACGCACAAGCGCAAGGGTGCGGCTCGGTTCCGGTCTCTGGACTATTCGGAGCGCAACGGCTACATCAAGGGCGTCGTCACCGAGATCCTCCACGACTCGGGCCGCGGTGCTCCCCTCGCCAGGGTAAGTCATGCCTCATGAACGTCGCTCACTGCTTGTGCTAGGGTAAATCGACCGTCATCAGCGTCGGTCTTGCTTGAGCTAAGGTACAAGCGTGACGTTGCACAAATGGAAACAACACACTACGCTGTTATCGATGGTTCAGATCACCCTCTCTCCAGTCATCTACTCGCTCCCACTCCTCTCACTCACCTCCTCTGCACACTTTTTCCCCACACGCACATACATTCCCGCTTATCCCCGCTACAGGTGCAGTTCCGCCACCCGTTCCGTTTCAAGCACCAGAAGGAGCTGATGGTGGCGGCGGAGGGCATGTACACGGGGCAGTTCGTGTACTGCGGCAAGAAGGCCACGCTCAGCATCGGCAACGTGCTGCCCGTGCGCGCCATGCCCGAGGGTACCGTCTGCTGCAACCTCGAGCAGCACGTCGGTGACCGCGGCGCCATCGCTCGCGCGTCCGGTGACTACGCGATCATCGTGTCGCACAACCCCGACAACGGCACCACCCGTGTGAAACTCCCGTCTGGCTCCAAGAAGGTTATTCCGTCCTCTTGCCGTGGCATGGTGGGGCAGGTTGCGGGCGGTGGTCGCACTGAGAAGCCGATGCTCAAGGCCGGTAACGCGTACCACAAGTACCGCGTGAAGCGCAACTCGTGGCCGAAGGTGCGTGGTGTGGCCATGAATCCTGTGGAGCATCCCCATGGTGGTGGTAACCATCAGCACATTGGTCACGCGTCCACCGTGCGCCGCGATGCGCCTGCCGGGCAGAAGGTTGGTCTCATTGCTGCCAGGCGTACTGGTCGGCTCCGCGGACAGGCTGCCGGTTCGCTCAAGATGGAGAAGGCCGCTTAACTCAGTTGAGCAATGGTGGCTGGGGAGCAGTGTTCTTGGAGGTGGTGTGGTATGGGCGGAGCTGCTGGTGCAGGGCTTGTGGTGGCGGATGGAGAGGTGCTTTTCTGGATGCTGCTGGCAATTGTGGTGTTATATGCGCTTGTGCTTGTTTCATACATTGTAATCAAATTCTTGATGATAAGCACATGGTTCGTGATCAATGCCACCAACACCATCAATGCAAATTATTTGTCCAGTTTGTTGTTTTAGAGGAGTGGTAGCAGTGTGGAATTCGGGTTCGGGGGGGTTGTGGGCCTTGGTCAGTTCTCTATGTGGCTGCCTGAGCTATAAAATTGAACCTCTGAACTGGAGACGCATGGAGTTAGGGGTGTTAGGTTGCATATTACTAGTTCTGGATCTAAGGTTTCTTTCTGCTTGTTGAAGGAGTCCTGCTTTATCGGAGCGATAGGGAAATTCTCCCGCTGGACTGGAGCATCTCGCCCCGCGCCTCCGCACCTACAGTTCTCGGAATTTTTGGCGAATCCGGACACAGCTTGACCTTGAATTCCCGCGCGCCCATTTGCTTCCGCCCACGCATCCGCCTCTAGCGTTGTTTCACCGCACTTCGTCTCACCATCCCTGGATTGGATTTGCCTCCTGAACTGTCTCGCCTTGCTTCGCGATCCTGGTTACCCGTCGCGCAGTGCCCAGTTTCCACCGACCCCATCCATCACCCACCCACCAAGCCTTTCCTCTCAAAAAGAGGAAAAGGGGGAAATATCTCGCTCACTCCAATTCGTCCTTCCATCAATTTGCATTTTGCCGCTACTCTCTGCTTTGATCCTCTTCCGTTCTGTTGGGGGGCGAGGAGAAGAGATTACATAGACTCACGGACTAGGCAAGCGGGCGAGCCGGCAAGCGGTGTTGCACTGCATGATAAACGGAATGGAGGTGCCCACAATGCGATCACTGGGCGACGGCGACGACGACGAGTACGACTGGGAGGGGGAGAAGCGGCGCCGGGAGCGCAAAGAACGGCGCGAATGGGCGCGGCTGGTGAGCTCCGCGGAGCAAATGGAGGCCTCGCGGCGGGTGAAGGCGCAGAAGTGGTCGCGCAAGCTGCGCTCGAAGCTGGAGTATCAGCGGTCTATGCGCGGCAAGGTCGACGTGTCAGAAATCGAGGATCTCGATGTTTTCGACATGCCCGCGCATACCGGAGACGTCGACATGGGAGCGCCGCCTCCCACGCCGCAGCCGCCGCCGGATCTTGATCGCGCGGGGCGCGCGTGCAAGACGAAGATCGTGTGTACATTAGGGCCGATGTCTCGCAGCGTGGACGTGATCGAACGGCTGTTACGCGCCGGCATGAACGTGGCGCGATTCAACTTCTCCCACGGATCGCACGATTATCATCAGGAGACGCTGGATAATTTACGCGCCGCCATGTCGAATACTGGCATTCTCTGCGCCGTACTGCTCGATACCAAGGTGCGTTCATTTGCATTATCTTTCCCCACAACACTCCGTGACAAACTTGAGAATGCTTTTTAATTATATATTTTTCTTCTTTCTTTTGCTATGTATACAAAATGCTGCATTCTTTCTTTATCCAAACCGCAAAGTATATGCATTTTACGTCACCCTCCGCCTCACATTCTTCCCTCCCCATTCCCTCTCCCCGCCTCTCCCCCACTCCCACCCCCTCCCACCGCCCCCCTCCCCATCCCCTCCGCTCTCCGCACTCGCGCGCAATAATCCCTCTTGCCGCGGCGCCGCAGGGGCCGGAGATCCGCACGGGCATGCTGAAGGACGGCAAGGCGGTGCAGCTGGAGAAGGGGCAGACGATCACGGTGACGACGGATTACAGCGTGCAGGGCGACGCGACCATGATCGCCATGAGCTACAAGAGCCTCGCCAAGCACGTGCGACCCGGCGGACAAATTCTCTGCGCGGATGGGAGTATCACGCTCAACGTGCTCGCGTGCGACCCGGACGCAGGGTGCGTGCGTGCATGTGCGAGAGGCCGTGTGTGTGCGCTTGTCGGTGCCGCATTCGTTGCGGTTTTTCTACGCGCCATTCCACTCCACTCCTTCCCCGAACCCTTTTCCTCCACGGCGCCTGCCTTACCGTTTTTGTCTCCGCGTGTGCGCAATCATCATATTGCATTGCGCATCTACCGTCGCTCATTTGCCAGCCATTGCGCATTACTGCATCTGAACATTCCGTCCGGCAAATCCCCCTCTCTCATTCTGCGTGGTTCGTTAAATTGCTGCATCTGTCCCGTGTTGGGGGTAGTGGCCGTTGTAGTGGCATCAATTTTGTTACTTCTCTGCTCGGTGATACTTTTGACTGATAATATAATGTGTGGTGTATGGCAATTGGTGTGCTGTGTGATGCATGGTGCATGGTACGTGGTGCATGGTGTATGGTGCATGGTGTATGGTGCATGGTGCATGGTGCATGGTGCATGGTGCGTGGTGCATGGTGCATGGTGCGTGGTGCATGTGCGTGGTGCATGGTGCATGGTGCATGGTGCGTGGTGCGTGGTGCATGGTGCGTGGTGCATGGTGCATGGTGCATACAGCACGGTGACATGCCGGTGTGAGAACACAGCCACACTAGGCGAGCGCAAGAACGTGAACCTGCCGGGGGTGATAGTGGACCTACCAACGGTCACAGACAAGGACGAGGCGGACATCATGGGGTGGGGCGTGCCCAACGGCATTGACTTCATCGCTGCTTCCTTTGTGCGCAAGGGCTCTGATCTGCGCATCATTCGCAAGATGCTGGGGCGCAAGCTCAGCGAGCGCACCAAGATCATCTCCAAGGCATGTCATGTTCCCCACGCCTCTTCCTGCTGCTACTGCCTTTTGTAATTGTGGGCGCGCACGAGCACATATGCACGCGCAAACATTAGCACATGCACAAGCAGAAGCGCAAGCGCAAACAAGCACATGCACAATCACAAGCATATGCATGCACTGGTGTATGCGAATGCGCTCGTGCAGACCTTCCAAGTGTGGCTGGAAAGCCTTTTGCCTGTGTTTGTGCAGGGGCAGCTTGAGATCCAAGAGGGGCTGGTTTACTCTGATGGCATCCTGCTAGAGAGTCGCCTGGAATCGCGGGTGAACTCATGGTACCTTTGCCTGTTGTCACCCTGTGTGTTGTGTCTTGAACTCCCACAACAGGTGGAGAACCAGGAGGGGTTGGTCAACTTTGATGACATTCTGAGGGAGTCGGATGGCATTATGGTGGCTCGAGGCGACCTGGGCATGGAGATCCCCATTGAGAAGATCTTCCTGGCTCAGAAAATGATGATCCACAAGTGCAACGATGCAGGTCAGTTTGCCCCTCTCACTTTCTCACAGCCGCCCATGCTTGTTGCATCTACACTTGCTGCACTCACGCACGGGCCCCAATGGAAAACTTACCAGCACGCCACTTCCACGCTTGCAAAAACAGAGAGCATCCAGTTCAACATGCGTGCTTCAGCTGCCCACATGCTGAACGCCTGCTCCCTCCCTGCTGTTCCTGCCCGTCTCTTCCCGCCCACCAGGCAAGCCTGTGATCACAGCCACACAGATGCTAGAATCCATGGTCAAGTCCCCGCGCCCCACCAGGGCAGAGTGCACAGACGTGGCCAATGCTGTCATCGATGGCACGGATGCAGTCATGCTGTCGGGGGAAACAGCCGCTGGAAAGTACCCTGTGGAGGCGGTTTCTGTGATGGCTGCCATTTGCCGCACAGCAGAGGCTGGGCTGGATTACGAGTCGTCTTTTAAGACGGTGATGGCTGCTGCGCGCCTGCCGCTCAGCCCTGTGGAGAGCCTGGCGTCCTCTGCTGTGCGCACTGCCAACAGCGTAAGTGCATGCGCTGTGAGGCAGTGTCTTTGAGTTTGGCAGTATGCGGTCAATCCCTGCCGTAATGTCAATACATTGCTGGTAGTCTTTTGTTTTATTTTTGTTACTTTTCCTCTTTGGAGCTGAAGAGACCCTCTCTGGGTTTCGCATTTGCTCCTGCGCAGGTGGCTGCGAAGCTGATAGTGGTGTTGACACGCAGTGGCAGCACAGCAGGGCTTGTGGCCAAGTACCGACCATACATGCCTATCCTGTCCGTGGCTGTGCCGGTGCTCGAACCCACCGACTCGCTCGAGCTCTTTGTGGAGCCCAGTGATGCTGCTCCTGCTCGCCATGCGCTGCTGGTCCGCGGGCTTGTGCCGATTTTGGCGGAGGGAGGGGCGCGATCCACTGACTCTGATACGGTCTTAGACATCATATCGACCTCGTTGGACAGGGCTAAGAGCCGTGGACTTATCACTTCTGGCGATACCGCTGTAGTGGTGCATCGCATTGCAGGGTCCGCTGTTATTAAGATCATGCAGATTCCTTAGGCTGGATATTGTTATGAGTGTCTTGATACGCGGGTGACCTGTCACACATTGTAATTTATATTATTGTGCTGGTGTATTCGAATTCTGCAAATATACCAGCTAGTGTACTGCTCACCACGGTCTTTTGAGTTGCATCTGACGAAACGCGGACCCCTCATGGTTCGCTGCGTCTGTCTGTTCCGTCGGAGTCGCCCACCGGATGGCACACTAGGGGAAAAGCTGGCGCGTCGCGAATTCGACCCAAAACATGTCATGCAAATTGAACGACTCGACTTTTCCTCTCGCATCTTGACTGTTGAAGCTTTTCGCTTCCCATCCCACCCACTCTCCTATCCACTCCACCCTCGAGCACTCTTGGCCGCGGCTTGGCCAGTCACATCAATCTTTCGTTGCTCTGCATCCATTTTTCACACGCCTCAACCAAGCAAGCACAAGCTTTTGCGTTGCTTGTTGTTAGAGCCGTTGCCATCTGCATTTCCGTACGGCAGCTAATTCTATTATTCTCAAGACAACCACGTAACTTCAGCGACTTTAGGTTACGAGTAGTAGGCACCAAGCTATGGCGGGACGGGCTATTGCGCTCACGCTGATCACGGCCCTGATCGTTATAATAAGCGCGTGCGTAGCGCAAGCCGCCTCTAGACCCGCTAGTCTGCGGCTGGTGAAGCTGGGAGGAAGCGCACAGGATCCGAAATGCCTCGATGGCAGGTGAGTTGAGTCCGCGGCAGATGAAACCGAGCACGTGGAGAAAGGGCTCCTAAGGATGTCTTTCAGTAAACCAATTGGATCTCGTGAAAGGTGTAGATTGCGTGGAAGCACGGGGCAGTCGAAACGACTTATAGGCGTGTTATGAGCGGTTGTTTTGAGCAGTAACATCAATGCATTCACCCGAGTAAGCCACAGCTGCCGTACACCCTTGATTGATTGGAGTGAATGTGTGAGCAAGTGCGCCACGAACACGACAGGAATTTCTGCATTACTGGAAAGGACCCCGCCTGTTTTGCGTTCCAACAAGTAGATCCAATGCGTATCCATTCAGACTCACCGAGACGCGCAACGACTTGTCACTTCGGCTCTGGCCCCCTTTCCGCCCCATCAACCCCTGTCACGCCAGTCCTCCCGCCTACTTTCTCCGCGACGGCTATGGCTCCGGCGTCAACAACTGGCTGGTCTACTTGCAAGGCGGCGCGTGGTGCACGAGCAAGACGGAGTGCGCGCAGCGCGCCACGACGCCGCTGGGCTCGAGCAAGTTCTGGCCCGAACCGAGTAGCGCCTCATTCGTGCGCGTGGTGAGTACGCAACGCGCAATGGGCAGCGCGCAACATGCAATGCCCAACTCGAGGCCATGTCTTGAATAAATCTGCCTGCCTATGCTTCTCCTCCTTCCGTCTTTCGACTTCCGGTACCGGTTCTCGATCTTCTCTCTCTTCCTCGTCTCCGTCCGCCTTCTGTTTCCCACGCCTCATTCTCTTGCCTTGACTCTCCTTGCAAACCCCGTGCGTGCACCGCAACGACGCACGACGACGACGACGACGACGACGACGACGACGACGACGACGACGACGACGACGGCGGCGGCGGCGGCGGCGACGGCGACGCATGGCGGCAGATGCGGAACTTGAACAGCCAGTTCACGGGGCTGCTGAGCAGCAGCGAGGTGCAGAACCCCGACTACTACAACTGGAACACCGTCATGGTCGTCTACTGCGACGGCGGCGGGTACGCCGGCACGGCGGGCGCCGTCAAAGTCAACGCCTCCACCACCATCCACCTGGACGGCCGTCGCATCCTCAAATCCATCGTCGCAGGTCCGTGCTGCTCCTTCTGTTTCCCCTCGTGCTTCTCCTCGTGCTTCTCCTCGTGCCTCTCTCCTCCTGTGTCCCTCCTCCTCCTCCTCCTCCTCCTCCTCCTCCTCCTCCTCCTCCTCCTCCTCCTCCTCCTCCTCCTCCTCCTCCTCCTCCTCCTCCTCCTCCTCCTCCTCCTCCTCCTCCTACTCCTCCTCCTCCTCCTCCTCCTTTTCCTCCCCTTCCCCTCATGTATGTGTACCGTATGTCAATTGTTTTTACTTCTTTCGTGCCCTCTGCTGCTGCACCGCAGACCTGGCTAAGCGAGGCATGGCGACCGCGAAGCGCGTCCTGCTGACGGGGTGCTCCGCTGGAGCGCAAGCGGTGTCCACGTCGTGCGATGACGTGGCGGCGGCAGTGCCGGCCGCCAACACCAAGTGCCTCATGGACGCCGGCTTCTTCCTCGGTGCGTCCTCGCTCCCTCGCTCCCTCGTCCCCTCCCTCGCTCGCTCCCTCCCTCGCTCGCTCCCTCCATCCCTCGCTCTCTTGCCCTCCTGCTCCCCGCTCCCCCACTCCCTCCCTCGCTTCCTCACTCTCTCGCTCTCTTGCTCCCTCTCTCCTCGCGTGCTCGGTGCGCCTGCTTATCACCACCGGTGGTCTCTCTCTCGCAGCTCAGAAGCGTTCCATTCGTTCGTACAACAACTCTACTCTTCAACTCTGAATCGTCTCAACGTTTCATTCTCTCACGTAGATTCATCCATGCACGGGCTCTGACACTCGGTCTGACCTCCAGCGTGCTCCGGCTCCGCCATTACCCCACCCCAACTCCAACCCCAACCACCGCCCATGTGTTGGCCCGGGATCAGATGGGTGGGACGAGAACGGCACCCCTGCGTTCCGCACCATTGCACAGAAGCTGGTTGACGTCCACCAGGCACAGTATGACGCCGACTGTGTTAAAGGTGAGGCCGCCTGCCGCCGTCCACGCACCCGCACGCAGAGCACATGCACATCACACGCAGAGCACATGCACATCACGTGCAGAGCACATGCACATCACATGCAGAGCACATGCACATCACATGCAGAGCACATGCACATCACATGAGAGCACATGACATCACATGCAGAACACATGCACATCACATGCAGAGCACATGCACATCACATGCAGAGCACATCACATGCACAGTGTAGAGCACATGCCCATCACATGCAGAGCACATGCCCATCACATGCAGAGCACATCACATGCACAGCAAATCACATGCACAGCACATGCAGAGCACATGCCCATCACATGCAGAGCACATCACATGCACAGAGCACGTTACACATGAGCGCGTTCACACAAGACCCTCTGGCTCTGCTATCGTATGTGGCTCGCTTTCTATCAACCCACAACGGTCTAGCCTCTACTCTTCCTTCTTCCTCACCCTCTGTCTCCGCACTTCACCTCCCCCCTTCTCTTGCTCTCCGAGCCTCTCACTCGTCATTCCTCTTCCGCTTGTTTCCTCTCCAACACCCCACCTTCACCCAACCGATTTTGCTCACGTTCTCCCTTTCCCTCTCGCTCCCTGCCTCCCAACCCTTCTCCTCAGCAAACCGCAAGGTGACTCAGTGGAGGTGTTTCTTTCCGCAGAATAACCTGGAGTTTGTGTCAACACCCGTCTTCATCATCAACTCTATCAACGACTACACAGCCATGGATATCCTTAACTCCGCAAACAAGGCATCCAATGCGTCCTCCTCCAATGTCCTACTGTGCCTCGACGAGCTTCGGCCGTCCGGAGGCACGGCAGGGTACGTTCCCAAGGCGGTGAAGCAGCCTCGGCGCAAGAATGGCAACGCCACGTGCTCCGCAGCAGCTCGGGACGCGCTCAAGCGCTACTCGGTGCGGCTGCAGAACCGCATTCAGAGTTTGGCTCGGCGGCGGCCGAACACTGACACGTTCCTGCTGGGCTCGGTGGCGCACTGCGTGACGATATACCCCACTTGGCTCAGCGTACAGCGCAAGGGGTTCTACATGCGCGCCGAAGTCTCGAATTGGTTGTTGAAAAACCAGAGCGTTCAATTAAGACAGCGGCGTGGAGGAGGGCACCGTGTGTAGCACCAAGAAGCTCGTATGTTGCAAGTTGCAACTCACATGATACTCGTGTAGGTTCGTAGGCATGGTATGCTAATTCTTGCCAGACCATAGCTGCGCATGAAAGCGTCCCCTCCAGGCGCACATACATGTGAAAGAAGCATACGCGTTTTAGTCCCGGTGTTAAAATTCTGGTGTGCATTGCCATCAGGATGCAGGACGTGGATTGTAGCACACACTGTGTTCATAACAAATGTTGATGCCATGCTATGCCTTTATGGCTTTTATCTGCCCCTTATTATCGTACGCAGTACTGTACCCACGCTGATATTGCGAACGTAATTAGGGTATGCTTAGTCGGTAGTGGGCAAGTTTTACAAAGCACCAGGTTGTCAAAATGAGGAATGATGATGCCATTGATGTTGGTTGGGCTACATATAACAAACCCTAACTTCTGTACCCCCTAAGACAAACCTCACCACAGGCTACAACATTTGACACACCCCCATAGCCTAAGTGAGGGGTGTCTAGCAAAATAAAAAAGAGTACGGTCACAAGACCAGTCCAAAAGAAAACAAAGCTCAGGGTGGATCACAACGTCACCACACTCTCTGAGCACAAGCAACAGTGGCCACAAGGCCAGTCCAAGAGATCACAAGTATATATAGCAAGAGTACAGACGAAGCAGGCAATAAACTCAAGCCTACACATGACTAGAACCTGTGTCAACAAGGCCTAACTGCACACAACACCTCTGGTGGTCACGAGGCGGAAGCGCCTTGGTGAAGATGTCTGCAGTGTTGGCCTCGGACTCCACAAACTCGAAGCGAGCCTGTCCACGTCTCTGCAACTCTCGCAGAAGAAAGTACCTGACGTGAATGTGCTTCACTCTGCTCTCCAGTCGCGGCTCACGACAGAGGAGGATCGACGCCTTGTTGTCAGTGAACAAGGTCGGTGCAGAGCTCGGCCGCTCACCAAGGTCGGCGAGCAAGAAGGTCAACCAACGCAACTCCTGTGCCGCCATGGCACCAGCGTAAATCTCAGCCTCAGCTGTAGAGGTCGAGACAGAAGAGGAGCGCGTGGAACGCCAGGAAACAGCTCTAGAACCCAGACTGAAACAGTACCCCTGAGTAGACCTGTGAGTCTCAGCGTCGTCAGCGTAAGAGGAGTCACAGTGACCAGTGAGTACGACAGACTGCTGCCCTCCAAGAACTAGCCCCACGCCTGATGTAGTCGCTAGGTACTTCGCCACCCTCACAGCTGCCGTCCAGTGAACAGGACGGTGTCTCCCTGGCGCAACAAAGCGCGCAAGGATGCTGAGAGGGAAGGCGAGGTCCGGGCGAGTACAAGTCATCAGGTACATGAGGCAACCCACAAGCTCTGCGTAGGGACCACTAGGCTCAAACGGCTCGTCAGGAAAGGGACCAGTGAGTCTGTGGTCAACAGCGAGAGGTGTGCGCTGTACGGTGGAGTGCTGAAGCCCGAACCGCTGAAGGACCTGCTGCACCATGTGTGACTGTGAGAGTGTAATGGTGCGAGCGGCTCTGTCCCTGGTGATCTGCAGGCCAAGGTAGTGGCGCAGCTCACCAAGATCAGTGCACGTGTGTCTCTTCTGCAGTTCGGACTTCACGTCTGCCAAAGCAACCCTGTCCGGAGTGGCGAAAACGAGGTCGTCGACGTAAACCAGAACAAAGAACGGTGTGGAGCCACGACGAACGAACAGCGACGGGTCGGCAGAAGACGGCTGGAACCCAAGGTCAGAGAGGGTAGAACGCAGAGTGTCGTGCCACTCACGAGGGGCCTGGCGAAGACCGTAAACAGGTCGCCTCAGCCTCCACTGGGTCCCAGGAGGGAAGGGGCCAGTGAAGGCCGAGGGACGACGCAACCAGACCTCCTCGTGTAGGCTGCCCTGAAGGAAAGCAGTGGAGAAGTCGAGAGAGTGTAACTCGTAGTCTCTCTGTGCTGCTACGTGTAGTAACACCCGAAGAGTGGTCATCTTCGGGGTAGGTGCGAAGGTCTGAAAGAAGTCAACTCCCTCGCGCTGACTGAAACCTCTAGCCACGTAGCGCGCCTTGAAGACCGGGGGAGATCCCGGTGGCCGCTTCACCCTGTAGATCCACATGCCGTCGACTACGTTCGCCCCAGGGGGGGGAACCTCATCGACGTAGGTGCCTGTGGATCTGTAGGAAGCCATCTCTGCGTCCATGGCAGCTCTCCACTGAGAGGCCCAAGGCCCTGACACTGCCTCAGCGTAAGTGCGAGGAGTCGGAATGTCAAGGGCGTCGGGGTCACCCTCAGGGGCGAGGAGCATGGCACAGAGATGAGGGGAAGCGGCCGCCAGGAACTCTAGCTCAAACTGCCTGTCCTCTAGGGCGTCACAGCCAAGGGCAGACACACCCCCGACGGCCAGAGGACTGGTAGGAGGAGCAGCCACAAGCGTGGTGGCGTAGTCAAGGCGGCGGGTAGAGGCAAAGTCAGTAACTGCGGCAGTAAGAGCGGACACAGAGGACACAGAGGCACGAGGGTGAGTAACAAGAGAGGCGAGAACACGAGAGAGAACAGGACGGTACGTGCGGTAGTAGTCAGTGACAGGAGTAGGGAGCGACACAGAGAGGGCCGACTCAGGAGGAGACGGAAGCACAGACTGAGACGGACGAGGTGGACTAGAAAGAAGGAAGGCAGTACGAAGGTCAGTGAAGGGAACAGGAGACGAGGGACGAGCACGAGGGGAGCGACGAGTAGCCCAAGAACGAGACGGAGGAGGAGAGGACAAAGGCGGAGAACTGGGGAAAACAGCGGGGGAGGAGTCAGGAGGAGGAAACGTGGGACCGTAGACAGGAGGAGAGGCGGAGGAGGGAGGAGAAGGGGAGGGGAGACCAAGGGTCCGAAGACCCGAGACAGGAGGAGGAAGTGGCTGCTGCTGCTGCTGCTGCTGCGACTGCTGCTGCTGCGGAAGCGGCTGCTGCTGGGACTGCTGCTCCTGCGGGTCCAGCTGCTGCTGCTGCTGCTGCTCCTCCTGCGGCTCCAGCTGCTGCTGCTGCTCCTCCAGCCGCTGTAACTCCCTCTCCTCTCTCTCCAACGCCAGCTGCTCGTCACGGGCACGGCGAACACGAGCCTGGTGCCTAGTCGGGTAGGGTTGGGGGGGCGGAGTAGTGTCCGAAGCAGCGGTAGCTCCAGAGTCCACCCCCGAAGAACCAGGCGCACCACCCCCAGAGGCAGCACTAACACCAGCTCCAGACCCAGGCTCACCAGAACCCGAAGGAGGCGCACTCTCACCCCCAGTGTCCGCGCGACCAGCACCAGCTCCCGGACGACAAGAGTCCTCTGCACCCACCGGGTCAGCTCCAACTCCAGAACCAGAAACTCCAGCTCCAACTCCAGCTCCAACCCCAGCACCCCCAGAACCAGAAACTCCAGTGCCAACTCCAGCTCCAACTCCAGCTCCAACTCCAGCTCCAACTCCACCACCCCCAGAACCAGAAACCGGTACAGGAACAGGCGCAGCACCAACCTCTCGAGAGCTAGCACCTTCGGCACGCTGCGAGGAGGACTGTGGGGAGGGAGGCTGTACCGGAGAGGCTACCGAAGGAGGAGGGGCAGCCTGGGACACACCCAACGGGGCTGGACCAGGGGGGGGAGGCTGTACCGGGGGAACAGGAGGGGGAGCGGCAGTCAGGAAGAGGGGGGGAGGAGGAACCTGGAGACCTCGACTGGGGTACCTGACGTAGTACGGAGTGGACTCCTCGAAACGGACGTCACGGGAGTCAAAGAACCGGTGAGAGGGAGGGTGGTAAAAGGTGAAGTCAGAGGAGTCCTCAGGGAAACCAAGGAAGACACAGGGGACGGCACGAGGCGAGAGCTTGTCCGCGGAGGTGTCGCGGACAAGAGCCAAGCACCCCCAGACACGAAAACGCGACGCAACACCAGGGGACCCTGTCCAAAGACTGGTCGGTGAAACCTCTGGTCGAGAGACACGTGGCCAGAGGTTCAGCTGGTGCGCGGCGTACCTGACCGCGTAGGGCCACAGAAAATGGGGGGCACAGGCGTGAGTCAGGGAGGTGCGGGCGATCTCCATGACCAGGCCTATGCGGCGCTCAGCAACCCCATTCTGCTGTGGGGACTCTGGAAGCGTCCAGGACTGACGAATGCCCTGCTCGCGACAGAATCCAGCGAGAATGCCGGAGCGAAACTCACCCCCACGGTCGGAGTGGAGGCAGCTGACACGACGACCACGAGTGTCCTCGGTGGTGAGCAACCACCTGATCAGCGTAGAAGTCACCTCAGACTTCTTCGCCAGAGGGAACACTGTGGTGTAGCGGGAGAAGTCGTCAACGACCACCAGAAAGTAGCGCTCACGCTCAGGGCCTAGACGAGGGGCGGGGCCCCAGACGTCCAAGTGAAGCGTCTCAAAAGGCTCGGTGGCCGGACGAAGGGAGGAGGAGTGAGGGGCGGCGCGCAGCCGACCCTCGACGCAGGGACCACACGGCGGCGCAAGCGAAGGCGGCAGCGACGGCAAGACACGTGGGAGGCCTAGGACAAGACGCTGACTAGACATAGTGCGCAGACGAGGAAGGGACGGGTGCCCCATCCGGTGGTGCCACAGAACGGTGGGGTGGGCAAGCGACCGGCAGGAGCACGACGCAGCGACTGGAGCAGACGTAGGAACCTGACACGACACAGACACCTGGGGGGACGAAGCAACCTGGTGAGACGCGGGGACCCGAACGGGGGGGGGAACCGGGGGCAGTGGCAGTAGGGGCGGCTGCTGGTGCGACCGCTGGTGCAGCTGCTGCTGCTGCTGCTGCTGCTGCGGCTGCGGCTGCTGCTGCTGCTGCGGCTGCTGCTGCGGCGCACGCGGGCCAGTGTGAAGAGTGTAGAGACCTGAGCCCGGCTCAGCAGTAAAGGTAGCAAGAGGCTGGTAAGAGTCTCCGTCAACACACACCGCAGTCTCTCCAGAAGGCTCAAACCACACACCCACGTGCTGACTCACGAGGGGTCGCACGCCCACCAAGTTCCGGGAGAACGAGGGGACGTGAAACCCAGTGAGAGACCCGGAGGGAGCAGCAGGACACGGTAAAGTGGTAGTGTGACGTGCAGTGACTGGTCCCGTAGTGGGATCAGCCAAAGCCACAGAAACAGGCGCAGGAAGTGGTGTAAGTGTCGTGCTGTCCCGGA